CATTCGAAAGGATGCTTGTGGCCGGAGATCGACACGCCCTCGTTCAAATCGCCGTAGCCGAGGTAAGTGCCCGAAGCCTTGTTTCTGACGCGGTATCCACGGTTGCCGTACTCGAAAACCCACTACAAACACATAAGCGAGGCCGAGTCTATCAGAGAGAAGGGAGGGACACGTACTGTCTGATTGAGCTGACCGTGAGGGGAATAAGCAAAGATTGGAGTGCCGTCGTCAGCCTTGCCGCCAGCGAGGTCGAGTGCGGCCCCCGTTAAGGCGTTGTAGACGTAGTGGTCGGTCGGTGCAATCATATGCTGGTAGTCCTGCTGATATTGGTAGGACTGAGATCCTCTGAATCAAAATCGTGTCAGAACGGATGGACGAGGATATGGAGAAAGGGTTCTGCCTACCCTTGGGCTTCCAAGACCCAAAGCTGTTGGGGACCACCGTCAAAGTTCCTGAGGCTTACAGTGTTTTGCATAATGGTTTGCACCCCCTTCACAGCGCCGACCCCGGCTCCACCTTCCTTTCGAAGGACATTCCCGCTCGATTATCTAATATTTGCAACATATGTTACATCTATTTCACAGCAAAAGGCTGAGTGGACCGTGGCGATTCTGTGACTTTTTGTGACAGTTGCCAGAGCGGGGCTGGGCTCGCTTTGCCAGACTGCTATCTTAGGCAGGTGGGGCCGAGGTCGGCACGATGGAGGGGGTGCAAACCATTATGCAAAACACTGTAAGCGCGTGCCGTTATCCTTTCGGCCCTGGTCAAGGTCAAGAACGCCGCTATTTCCCGTAAAGCAAATGCTTGTGACGATAGCAAGCATAGTGAGTGAATGCAGGGGACCCGAGACCCGAGGAAGACGTACGTCCAACCACCCTCTTCTCGTCCGAAGACCCAGAAGAGGGAGTAATCATCAACCGTAACCTCAGCACCTTCAGATTCACTAGTCGCGCAAATGTAGCGACCGTGTCGGAAGTTCCTGATGGTGAATCCCGTTGGCTCCATGTCAGACGTCTCGATGATCCACTGAACGTCAAGTAGGAGTGAGCCAACCAGTCTGGGGGCTGACTGGGAAATGTCGTACCTTCTGGCTCTCATTGTTAGGACGGCTGTCCCAGCCATGAATTGTGGTTGTGTCATGATTGGAGTCCAGGTAAGTCCCACTCTGAAGGGTAGTCAGGACCACGGGGTAAAGGCCGACAAGGTCGACACAGGCGCACCTTGACGTTGCGCAGGCGATAAGTTCCTGGCCAAATGATAGCATCCATGATATCGAATAAATGCTTTTGAAAGATGGATTGAGAAGCTGGTGGCGACTTGACAGAGGAGCGGGCAATGCGGATCGTTTTATATAGTGCGTTTGGTGACGGGTCCGGAGGTCGTTATCACAATTGATGATCATCGCTTCCGGGAATTGAGTAGAAATAATGGTCGTCTAAAGTTGTTTACGATGCAATTGAAAAGGCGAAAGGATATAGACCAGGGCCGACTTGAGGGATACCAAAAATCATTTTCATGAGTACTCGTCTCGTCCCTTGCCCATCGACAAGTCTGAATCAGAATCAGTGGGCGGATGCAAATGTGCCACCTTTGTGCCTGATCACTCTCAAACGGGGTCGGATCGGGGGGCGCTATGGATGGTAACGATTTAATTGAGGGTCTTGATTGTGACGCCGGTCAGCGCAGGAGTACCTGTCACGTTTTCCGTCACCCCCCAAATCGGATTTCGTAGAGCAGTATCAGGCTTATAGTCGGAAATATTCCCAAGCGTCTCTATCGTATAACATTTGAGGGCCATAAGAGACTTCTGGAATGCGAGAAAAAGGTGAAGTGTCTGTGGTAGGATACCCTTGAAGGGAGGACGTATGCGGGCGGCCGTGACATCCACTTACAAGGCGGGTTATCTGTTTTATATGTCGCGAGGATGTACAATCACGATGAAGGAGAAGCATTAAGCAAGGAAACACAAATAGATATCCCAATCATGAGGAGGAAGATTTCCCAGTCCGACGTGGACAGTCTCGAGTTTTCCTTGCACAATCCACTCACAAGCTCTCAGGTACGAAGAATGTGCTTCGGAGGGGCTCGCCATAGAGCTCGGATAGCGAGTAGCCGTGAGACTCTTGACTGGACATCATAAGAAGTGAATAAAGTCATGTGAGAGATAACCCATCCCGTACGTCGCGGATGCCCGGCTCAGGATTTCGGCGCTTAGACGAATTCCGGCAAACGGCTCCCCCGTAGAGAACCGCTGTAGCTGATCCTAGACGCGGAATCCTCAAGTCCAGAACCCCACATTCGAGCACACGTTCGTAGAACATCACGAGTCCACCTAAATTTTCACAAGTAGACAAAACCTTTCAAAGAAGAATACAAGTTACAACTACGACGACTCCTCGGGCGTTTAAGCTCTGTCGATCTTCCACTTCTGGTTGTCCTGGTTGTTGTTGGACCACAAGCAGATCTTGGCACCGTCCTCCCTCTTGCCCTCAGCCAAGTCGGCGACGAGCTGGGTGTTCTGAGCGGGGTGGAACTGGTAGCCGTTGTCGGCCTGGGTGACGGTCCACTCGACGGGTTGTCTGTGGCCTGAGAGGAGTTCACCCTGGTTCAAGTTGTTGTAGCAGAGGTAAGTGCCGGAAGCGTTGTTCTTGATGCGGTAGCCGTTGCTGCCGGATTCGAAAGTCCACTGCAAGGAGTTGAGCGGTCGAGTTAGTTATGAACGGGTTTGAGTGTTATGAGGTTTTACTTACAGCCTGGTTGGCACCGTTTCCGACGGACCATGCGATGACTGGGGTACCGTCGTCGGGCTTACCACCAGCGAGGTCGAGGGCGGTGCCGGTGAAGGTGTTGTGGACGCGGTAGCTGCCTGGTGGGACGGCGCCTTGGTATTGCTGTTGGCGGTCACCACCGTAATTGGACCATTGTTGTTGTTGTTGTTGTTGCTGTTGTTGCTGTTGTTGCTGTTGCTGCTGCTGTTGGCCGCCTTGGTAGCCTCTGCGGGAATAGAGGACAAGGTAAGTGTGGGCTGATGAGGGTGTGAGATGCGTCGCTTACCCCTCCTCTTCCAAGTCCCAGAGCTGCTGGTGAGCGCCGGTGAAGCCCCAGAGGCTCACGCGGGTGCCGTTCTCCCTATGACCCATGTCGAGGTCGATGACGTGGCCGGAGTTCTCGTAGTAGATTCTATGCGTACAAGAGACAGTGAGCGAATGTCGGACGATAGCAATTCGCTAACCGAATGGAACTCACACATATCCACGGCCTTGGTCCTTGAAGGTCCAAGTGGTGGCGTTGCGGGTAGCCTTGACTTCAGCATTGTCGTGTGGACCGCTGGCCGAGATGTAGAGGTTGTGCTCGGCGTTCTTGATGCGGAATTGGTTCTCGCCGGCCGGTTCGAGGACCCACTGAGACGACGAGTGGAAGGTCAGCGATCGACTCCTAGATCCGCGATGCTCTACAACAGACCTTTTGGTTGTTGTTGTTGGGGCGGCTGTCCCATCCATGAACGGTATCGGGGTCCTTGTTGGACTCGTCAAGGAAAGTTCCGCTCTGCGAATGGTTAGGACCAGCGGGGCAACATCTGGAGGTTATGAACGAACCTTGACGTTGCGAAAACGGTAAACTCCTGGTTGGACCATAGTGATTTTGTTTGAGAAGAGCTGTAGAAGGATGAAGAGTGAGGTGTGTGCGGTGAGGAGGAAAGGGGAGAGGGAGAGGTGGGCGTCTTTATAGGCTGAGAGGGTGACGAAGGATGATATCAGCGATCGATGAGATCATCGTTTACTGAATAGAGAGTGTTCCTGGAGTCCGATGTAAAGCGATAGACTAGTCATATAGAGTAAACAAAGCATCAAATCCTGTAAATGTGGCGATGAGCTGCGGCAAGGATGGTGAAGAGGTACGCCGACAACAGGCCTTGTGGCGTCAACGCAACTGCGCAGGTCCACCTCAACCCCCTTCGGCTATTCCCCTCACCGGTCGCTCTGCACCTATATCTCATCCTCGAGGGGCCCTCCTCAGACACTTGAGAAACGTGCAGGGCCTCTTCGTCGTCCTAATCGGGATAACCTCGTTCGTGCGTGTTTGCGGGCAATCGGAACATGAAGCTATACAATCACTGGACCCCCTCTTCTTACCTTACGAGACCGTTCTAGAAGACACGTCCACATGATCTCATTTGCATTTGATTTCGGTGGGATTTAGCGGAACCTTCAACGCCACGTCTAGTCCATCTGGTGTTGCTCCATCAGTGGATCCAAGAGAAGTGCCAAGTGAAGACCCCGCAGGTGAATTCAAGCAAGGGTGTATCCTCTCCCCACCTTTGTATCTTCGCAGCAAGAATTGGGGTGCTGGCTCCAATGCAAGTGCGTGGAGACTGTTGGATTCAGTGGCAAGGATTTCGCCATCTCCTATGCCCACGTGCGCCAGGATCCGGCCTAGCTCGGATTCAGCAAACGCCAAGTGCAGTAGTTTTGAGTACCATTGGATCATGAACGACATAGCACAGTCCATTTCTTTCTAATGCTTGTGAAGAAGCGATGTTCCAGCTACGTTCGGTCCTTCGAATTCTGTCTGAGCGGGCCACTTGAGCTGTCTGGACCCTGCCCAAAGCATGAGACACTGGCATCCGCGCTAAAGAGATCAGAAAACATCAACCTTGCTCCGTTCTTTACTCGAAGAGTGAGATCCTAGTCCGCGGGGAAGCGGTTCACGAGCATTTGTGTGCTAGATGGATGCTATTATTGTCTTCAGCTCGCCTTTTCCCGTCTTCACACACCATCACCCCAGTCTTCCCACTTTGCGGAAGTCCATCGATAGAAGCTATAGCAGCATCAGCGTGATCTTCTTTAACAAGGAGTTTGAAGATGAGCCGACGCTGGAACTGTCCCTCTTTCGATGACAGCCAACACACCGAGTGCTGTGTAGATTCGCCCTCTTGGGTGTTAAAAGCTAAACAGAGCAAATTGTGCGGGGCGAATACGAAGGTATATACCAAAAAAAAATGGCCCGTGTGGGTCTCGAACCCACGACTTTGGAGTTACACGACAATGTGTATTAGCTCCACACGCTAACCAACTGCGTCAACCGGCCTCGACATTTGGAGACATAATTTTAAAGTAACTAAAGGGCAATTGCCTCTAAAACGTCTCTGTTGCTTGTGCGTTGCCCCTACTAACAGCGCATTTGGGAGCAACAGAGTATCGTCAAGAAGCACAATATCAATATTATCCTATGGGCTACTCCTACGAGGTACGTACTATCCGTATCGTTCGAAGAACCGTCCTACACGATTCTCTAAGACCTCAGCACAGAACCCTCTTGCCTTGACTTCGCTGCCGGCCCCTGCCCGGTTGAGCGCCATATCATTCACAACCTTCCAGACGGCGCATCTCTCAAGCTCTGCTGCCGTCGGTTGTGGTAGCCTTGCGTGTTCTGGGCGCTGAATAAGGTTTGTGTTAGGAACTTCCCACTTCACCGGATGAAGCTGCCACAAAAGGTCAACGAAGTCGTATAGCGCATCGTCATTGGGTTCGATCCAACATCTCCATAGTTCAAGATAGAGAGCTCCGGTGGTAGAGCGAGTAAGGCTTTCGATTCTGCTTCGACAGTGGGCGAGTTGTTTGGAGGTGAAGCTGAATGGGAGATTTACGTGAATGAGGGTGTCGGAGCCCATTAGCACGTCCAGAAGGGAGGTAATTGTCGCCCGAGGCTTATATGTGCTAGCCGGAGTGTGATAAAGTCGCTTCGGGTCAGCAAATGGTGCGCAACCGTAAGCCAGCGACTCGAGACGATTCATGCTCGTAACAATGATCCTCCAATCATCATCGACAGCGTCGAAAGGCGATTCTTCAAGTATCTTATCCGATCCCATTTTCCCTGCAACCTGGAGCAAAAAGTTGATACGCTTAAGAGTTGATGCGAGCGGTAGTAGTTGCTGCAAGATGAAAGGATCGTTGGGCTCCCACTGAGTTCCGACGGACCAGTGTTCGACGTACACTCCAAGCCGCGCGTACAATTCTTCCAGCCCAGGATAGCTCAAAGTGATGGACTTAACCGCCTTATACACTTCTCCAAGAGTCTGAAGCCCTTTACCGTCGAGGATCAATCTTCGAAGACTTGGAATCGGCAGCTGTCTCAGCCCAAACAGACCGAGTCCTTCCAGTCTAAGCGTCCTGAGTTTTGGGAAAGGGGTTTGCGCGAGAGGACAGGAAGCAACATGCCAACCGGAGTCTGTGGAGTCTCCGCTTGGGCTAACGAGCCTCAGGACCTCTAGTTCCTGGTAGGCCGAGATCGGGGTCAGGGAAGGGGGGTTATAGAGAGCTATCATCGGAAAAGCTAATTCGTGCAGGCGGTCGGCCGTTGGTGGGGGCTGAAATGTCAAGCCGCCTACACACCCATGGATAATCAGAGCGTGTAGAGACTGAACGTGGGGTTTCAGAGCGTTGATCAGTATCTCGAGCGATGACCCCTTGATGGACACGAGAGTGAGCTTTGTCAATGGCCGTCCAGCATGCTGGAGCGCCTGCACGATGTGACCTTCGTCCCGCGCCGAGTCTCTTGGATGCCATGTGAGATCAGTCAGTTTGGGAAGAAGTAGACGGAAAGTTTCCTGTTCGGGGCCGGCGCGGGCAGCTACAGCGATATCTTGCAGCTCGGCGTTCTCCTCGGGATCGAATAGATGCCGTGTCAACTGTGAGTAAAAAGCGTCGTGTTGAACGGGAGTGTTGCTAGTATCGATGACGATCTTGCTGATTCGTTTCGAATAGAAGTGGAGACGGTGCCACTGAGACTTTTGCGAATGCGAGCAGAAGGACTGTCCAGCAAATATCGCATTAGTAGGTGTATGCCAAACAAATCGAGATCTATCCTCACATATGCTTTGGAATCCTCTATCAGACCACAACTTACCCCGAGGCTTATCAGTCTCTGGATGTCGACGACTTCGTGCCATCTGACATCCAGTGCTTTCTCCATTAAGCCGCGGCATACAAGGGCGACGGAGGTGAGGTCATGGATGGGAAGGTGGTTGAATATGAGAAGTTGAAGTTCGTAGATTGAAAGTGCGCGAGTAACAGCTGATTCCATATTGTTTACTGAGCACAAGGGTAGGAACGGGGAACGGAGATCAAGAGCGAAGAAACGGGGTGAACGAACTGTAAATTATGTAATCGAGTCACGGGAAATCGTCAAGCACCTCCTAATCACGGTCAAACATTGGGACGCACTGAAACCTGGAGAGGCTGCATAAATGCAATAGTTACTCGCAAGAGACTGGGTATATATAGCTTCCTAACATCAGGACATGTAGTAATAACGTCTAATCCTGGAGCACGAATTGTGCCGAGTCGACGATGGTGCTCCAGTTGTTTCTAACGGCACGGACAAGTATTTCACGAACCTCAGGCGAGTACTGTTGATCGATCCTTCGTCAGATTTGGCTTCGCGCGCGTGAAAGAAACCGACACTCACTGTTTCCGTCTCAGAGACAGCTTCTGCGGCATCCTCCGTCGTTAGCTGAGTGATCAGCTCAATGGCCTTTTTCCTCCTTCTAACCGCGGCCGCAGTCATTTTCTGCACGGGAAAGGGAGGTCGGTCCTGGGCTGGCCGACTCGACGTTCCGGGATCGGCTTCTTCGTCATCAGAGGCTTCTTCGTCACATATCTCGATGAATTCCTCAGCATATGGGCATTCTTGAAGAAAATGGTCGTAAAGACTGTTTATGGAGCCTTCTCCCGAGAATCTTGGCAGATCGGGGAGCGTGATTGAGCCTTTATCATTTTATTCAATGGCGGGGAAACGTGACAAGTTACTCACGTTGACTGGCAGCGGAAACACTTGTAGGCGTTCTCTCCTACTAAGCACCTCAATCGAAGATCTTTCCAAGCTGAGTGGTTGTTCTTCCTATGAACGTAGAAAGGTCTGAGTGAATCCTTGATACAAGGTAACAATGAAATAATTCATAAAGAAATACTTACATATGTCGCTTGAGTTTCCAAAACGACGGCCAAATCTTGCCATGTCCGACGTGAAGCGGATATTCCTGACAGATTTGGCAGTGAAGCCCTCGTTCGCCGTATTTTTCGAAATTTCTCTACCAAGGGCGGAAGGAGAGCCATCAGTATCTGATTCGGATCGGCCGGAAAAGCGGGAAACCATACGTCCATCTCCCGCCTCCGTGCTTCCTGTTCGAACAAGGGTCCAAGGATTAGCACTGCGAGCTCCTTGTTCATCTCGGACACAGTGATATCTTTGAAAAGCGCTACGTGATCGTTGTCGTGGAAGACTCGGCGCGAGTCTACCATGCCGTCGCCAACGTAGCCAGGAAGCCTCGCCAGTGGCGAGGACGAAGTAACGACATAGGAGGGCTCGCCGACTCCCTCTTCGGAATAGTCCATCTCGTCGATTTTCTTGATCGTGTCCTTAACGAGACTTCGCACCGAGCTCGATAAGCCGATATCTTCCGGTACATTCCGTTCAGGGCGGTATGCGTCGTTGTCGAACCATGGATCTTCGATCATTTCCAAAGCTTCCTCCGACAGAAGGGAAGCGAATTGCACGGTCGATTCTTCCTCGTCTGCCTCGTTGCAATCGTCCAGGGGAGAAGTAGTCATCGGCGGTAATGGAAGAAGATGCTGGGGATTGAGGCGATCAACCGAAAGCGATGACGCCGATGATTCTTGAGCAGCATCCGACCTCTGCGCAATCCAAGGAGCGAATCAGACCGGCATCACCGATTACCTGGCCCCTAAGATGATTCACCTCACGAATGGAACGGGCAATTTGAATCGATGTTTCTCCAGGTTTCCGCATTTCAGCCACGGCTTTCAAGCGAGCGTCCATTGTATCGATCTCCTTGGATGGGGCCCACGATTCCCTAGCGTCACGGACTTTCTGTCTCGCATTCTCCCTCCGAAGCGCCTTATATTGTTTACGAAGAGCAAGTTGAGCCGTCAGGACCTTTGTCTTGCCCTACGAGCCAAATATCAAAGTCCGTAAATGCGTGTTGGTTCACTTGCACTCCGTCCCGCCGCAGAGAAGTGGAAAGGAGCAACAAAACTTACCGCTTGCCACATCTCTTTCTCGTCATCATTCAACGAGTCAAGTCCTCCGAATGATGTTTCCAACAAAGCGAACGCACGTTGAGTGTTGGGTGTAACGGTGATGGATGCTTTCGCTTCGTCCTCCACTCGCTGCACTTTGGACGGGTTGCAACGGCCGAGGATGCTTGTGGATCCATCCTTCCATTCCTGCAACGAGTCGTCAACCTGCGCGATCAAACTTTGGATCTCTGCTGATTTGGAAATGATGGTCTGGAAGGATGGATTGTCCGGGACGTCCGCAAAAGGAAGAAAGGCTCCGTTGGGTTAGCGGTATTGGCCGGTTGAAACGTGATCAGAAACTTGCCTCAAACTGCTGGCGTTCCTCCTCAGAGAACTCCCTGGATCCTTTTGACCGGCCAAGCTTCTGCAGCGCTGGGAGATCGCCACGCTTGACAAGGTAGAGCGCCGCAATGGATCGGAGGCTGTGGTGCTCCGCAACCGACTGCCAGACCACTGGTTAGAACCATGCCTTGTGTCAGAGAAACAAAATCAAGCGCACGTCGTGATGGTGAAAGGGAAGCATCGGTGGTACCTCTCCGTGGAGAAGACCTATGATATTGATGTTCGCGACGGACATCGAGTAGTATTCGGAATAAGTTTTATGCTGAGGAGAGTGGGTCAGCATAATGGACGCGACTTCTGCACCGGCGACACAGCCAATCTGAACAGAACAAGATGTTCAGTGAATCCGACGCGCAGCTTCATCACGCACAGTTCCGTACCATGTTCGATGTGCCTTTTCGGATGCCTTTCCAATCGACACGACCGAGGCCGGCGTTGGCAGCGTTGTTCGCCAAGGCGTCAATGAGAGATTGAGCCAACGCAGGAAGGGGTTTTCCGTTCGCCCCTGTAAGATCTAAACCGCTGTTGGGGCCCTTTCGACTGGCAACAAGGCTATAGAGAGGCTCGGTTCCCGTTTTTCACGACACGGCGAGGATTTAACGTACAAAGGTTCATCTCGTTTATCCGGGAGAACTTCGAGCATGGCGG